AAGAGCCCCACCAGCAAGTCACTGACGGCCAGGTTCAGGATGAACAGGTTGGTGACCGTGCGCATGTGCCTGCTCCACAGCACGATGAAACAAACCCCCCCGTTGCCCACCATGCACAGGAGGAAGATGAGCAGGTAGGAGGTGATGAAGACAGCAGCCACCCAAGGCTGGTGGAGGTAGAAGTCCACGTAGGAGACATTTCCTTCCAGGTAAAGGTACTTGTAGGTCCTGTTGTAATCCAGCAAATCCAAGTGAGGCCAATCCAATGAGGAGTTTGAGTCCATTCTCCTCCTTGTGCTCTAATGTGCCCTAAAAGATATTTGTAAAGAGGCCATTTTAGTCAGCTTGCAATTGATCTGAAGCAATGTGATGACATCATTATTATTATCATTATTATTATCATTATTATTATAGCATTGTTACCTGTTTTGTGTGCACTGTGTGCTGAAATAAGCATGAAACTCACACACACCCTGGCAGCAGTGAGGTGGCTGAACAATAATCACTAAAAAGTCACTAACTCCAGCACTGAAAAACAGGGATTAAAGCTTTCTCAAGTGGCACAAGTCCTCTGCCTGCAAGTATCCAAATCCAGCCCTATTTCATGGACATGAGATGGTTTTGTGTGCAGCTGGAGGATTTAATTCCCTGCTCACAAGCTACCTAACTCCAAGGCTGCAATCAAGAAGGACCACATTGTGTCTGAAACATGCTGAGCTACAAGAGAGCAGGGTTCATTTCCAAGCAGCTAACTTGACTTGGAGGCAGCATTCCAAACTCTTTTCCACATATATTTTGTCTCCCAGATGAGGATGTCTAAAGAAGCAGGGGGCAAAATTAATTGGTAGCAGCAGGCGTGAAATTCAAGTGTGAGCGCAGGTGCTTTCAAGATGCTCCAAATTCCTTAATAGAAATAGGATTTAAATTTAGGCACAAGTTACCTGAATCCTGATGAGCTTGTATGAAAGCTCAGCAAAGCCCTTGCAAGTGCTTTACTCTCAAGAACTAAATGCAGTAAAAAAAAAATAAAAGTATTTATTCTGCTGTGCCACAGGTTTGGAACAAGCAGAGCAGTGAAAACCCATCATGTTCTGCTCTCTTGTGCCTGTTCAGATATCAGCAGCAGAGCAGTGTCTTAATGGGTCTGTATTTTACAGACTTATTAAATGCCTGCACAGCCAGGCAGGGAGACAAAAATCTGGAGTCCCTCACCAAAAACCAGCTGCTTGTAGGTTTGAACAAGTGTAGGAATAGTTGTACATTCTGTGGGGCTGTCCTTACAGACAAAGGCTTGTTTATCTTGATTAGTTTTTACTCAACATGCTTTCAAAATCATTGGAGGTGATCTTACTGAGATGTCTGATGTGCCAAATGCTTTCCCCAGCCAGAGCTCAGAGTCAGCCTTGTGAGAAGTGCTTTAATGCCCATTTTCCTGATCCCTCAAGGAAGCAGCACTGGTGCTNCTCCGTGTGCGACTCCTCGACCTCTGGACTCTGCGGAGCGTGCCCCGGGCAGGGCACTGCAGGGCACGGGTCGCCCCTGTAAATACAAAGGACAAGAAGTGCTGGTTCACTTTCTGGTGCTCCCGGCCTCCTCCCACCCCTCCTTCCCTGGCCGGCTGGGACACGCAGAGGAAACACTAAAGGAACCTTCCTGGCAGCGAGTGGGAGTCGCTGAGGGCACAGAAGTCAGCCCTGACCTCAGCAGCCCTGTGGTTCCGGGCTCTGAACACCCCCGTGGCAGGAGGCGCCCACTGCAGGCAGGAGCAGGCACGGACGCTCGTGAGGCGCCTGCCGCAGACCGGACTCGGGTCTCCCTGGGAACAGACGTCGTTGCACGAGCACCACTGCAGCTGTTGGGCGAATGCAGGAAAGCAGCATTGTTGTAAGAGTTCTGTGCTGTCCCACAACTGTTTTCCTGTATTGTTCCAGGGCCAGGTGCCGGCCATCAAGTTCTGCCCTATGAGCATTCCAAGGGCTGGTGTTGAAAGCAGTTTCAGGATGGATTTCGAGGTGTGAGAGATAGTTGTATTTCCAACGTGGATCAGCTCCAAACCTCCCTGCCCACGGCGCATCTGACTGCAATAATTAATTTATGTCCACCCCACCTTGTCCCAGCCCAGCCGGCCGGGCTCTCCCCGGCGCAGCGCTGTAAAGTACTTGTCTATAGGCGTGAGAACTGCAGATATTTATTAAAAGTGGGTTTCTTGACATTGTTTTGTGTACTAAATATGTATGCTGGGGGCAGGTGACTCTTCCTTTTGCCAAGATCAAATCTGGAGATGGAATTAGATGCTGTGTCATATGCATATTGAAGCTGCTCAACTGCTGTGGAGAAATTGTTGGTCTTATTCTTTAAAAAATGTTTTTTTATCACAGGTCTCTCTCGTTTCTCAGTGGTGATTAAAGTTTCATGTGCAATCGCTGCTCCCCTGTAAGAAGTGCCCAGGATGGAGCCATTTAATGCTGTGAGGGGATGGGGGCCCCAAAGGTACAATTCTGGCAACATCCTGGCGGCCCTGTGGGTGCCTCGGGGGAAATAAGGGTGGCACTGGCCATCAGCAGAGGCTTCAGACGTGACAGTAAAACAAACCTTGGACATCCCGAGGCTTTCCCTGCTTTCACTCATGTGGCAGCATCTGGTTTTGGCATTTTTGTTTCCTCTTCTTTTAGCCATTTCCATCCCAGGCAGGACCTTCCCCGACTGGAAATAAAAATTAAATATTTTGACAGGATTTTGAAAAACGGAAGTTTTGCCATTGGAGAGTGTGATGTTCGGGAAAATTGAGGGACAGGAAGGAGAGGATCAGATCTCGCCTGGCAGCTGTCAGATGAGCCGCACCTTACTGGTGGCAGGGAAAAAGCCACTGTTTGAATCTCCCTAAGCTCCCAAGGCACAGAGGGCAGGAAATGCTGAAGGCAGAGCTGGGAGCGCACGGTGCGTTCGTGGGGCCGCCCGAGGAGGGACAGACAGGCGGCCGCTCTGGCTTCCAGAACACCGGGGGCACCCGCAAAACANGCACCGTGCTGGCACAGGGGTCACACACGGGGGCAGCCTTTGCTCCCGTGCTCAGCCCAGCAGTGTCAGGGTGTCACAGCTCCCCACACTGCGGTCTGTCCTGTACACGTGCTCACACAAGGTTCAACCACATGGGCCCAAATCGTGTTGGCACAGGCTGGGGCCAGAGGTGAAGGGCAATTCAAAACAAACCCTGCTTGACCTCTAAATCTCAGGTAAGTTCTGCAAGCTGCCAGGTGAGGGAATAAAAATACACAAACGTGGAACCAAGAGCACTAATGAGGTTCCTGGGAAACCGTTACATTGATTTCATAGAATTTTGAACAGGTTTTGAAGCTTTTTATGACAACAGTGGATTTCTTCTGGATTATTCATTCCGTAGGACTTGGGGTTTATTGGGGTTTTAACTCCCTCGTGGTGGCCCTGACACTGCTCAGGAGCTGGTAGGAAAAGCAGTCAACCTGCTGGAACTGGAGAAGCATAACCCCAAATCTCCACACTGTGGGTGGAGTCATGGAATCTAAACCAGCACAAATGGATGCTCCCAAATGAACCATGAGAGGACAGGACCAAATGAGGGTCACTGTCACTATGGTGAGGCAAAAGGAATTGTACCTCTAGCCCAGAATTCCACGCTGAGGCTGGGATAGCCTCACAGTGCCTCATGGAACACGGGTATTCCCAGGCAGAGCTGCTCCCTTTACCCCAGGTTTGTCAGGAACCAGCAAGGGTTCTGAGGAAGCTCAGCAGGATCAGGACAAGGACATGTCTATATTCCATAGGATTTGCTATTTATAGCCCTCGTCCCCCAGCCCCAGTGGTGACCATGTGGGTTATTTCACTGAGTTCCTTGGAGCTGAGCTGATTCTCACCCACTCTGAGCTCAGGCTCCCGTGGATGTTTTAAAGCCGGAGAAGGCGGCGGCTGGATGTGCTTCCAGCCCATGGTGAGGCGGCCCCTGAGCCCAGGTGACGACATCTTCCCCTGCAGAAAGCTCATTTTGGTTCAAACCTTCCAGAAGACCCTTTGGAAGTTCTTTTTCCTGAGCAAAGGGATGCAAATCCCTGCCTTTAAGGCACCTCAGGTGTGACCCACTGTTACAGCTTTCCATCGGTTCTACAGATCCATTTGCTTCCTGAAAAACAGCAAGCCTAATCTGAACAAAACTTCATCTTACTCAAACTTTTTATTTTAAGGCATCTCTGAGGGCTATTGCTTGAGATCTAGTTTCTGTGAAGGAAGCTTGCCTTGGCTTTAATGCTGCTGATGGATGATGTCCTCTCAGGCTTGAAGGGAAGGCATTAGGGTGGGTAGGACATAGCCAGTGTGCGGGGGAGCTCTGGGAGGCTGGCACCAGGAATTGCTGTCTGTGCTCCTCTAAAAATGCCACGTGCCAGTGTTTCCCAAGTGCCCATCAGTGGGTTCCCATCCCCGGGACATGTGTTTTACAGATGAGCCCTGCCTGGGAGACAAGTCCATCTTCTGCCAGATGGAGGTGCTGGCCCGGTACTGCTCCATCCCTGGCTACCACAAGCTGTGCTGCGAGTCGTGCAGCCGGCGAAGCAGCAGCTTCCCGCCGCCCG